GACGTACAATGTGGGAATCGGCCATCAGCGCCAGAGATATCCTGTTGCAAGCCCAGGGCTCCTCAGGGGCACCCGCAGGGACCTCTGGAGCATTGGGGCCCCATAATATGTGGGGAGTTGGTGGCGAGGCTGGGGACGCTCTACGGATTCACCAGCAGCAGCAGTTGCATGCAGCAGCTGCTGCTTCGCGCTTGGCCTTTCCGCATAAAGAAGAAGGAGCGGGGACAGCAGTATGGATAACCCCGACGCCGGGACACGTAATTAAGGCGCGAGTCAAAAATGGCCAGAAACTTTTTCTTAACATCTGCAGCCACCCACAAATAGAGCCGTGGCACTACAAGGAAGTCCTCTCTGAAGAGGGGCAGGGGCCCCAGGGAGGGCTTCGAATCCCGATGAGTATAGGCCCTTGTCCGTCTTCCCAACATAAACCCTAAGCCTTCAGCGCACAGAGGCACCAGCACGGTTAAAGGTTAATCAGCATGCATGCGTTCTGCGGCATTCTACCATAAGCGGTAGCAACGCAAGAGCAGAGACAAGTGCCTTCCTGTGCTGGAGAGGTTCAGGTGTACAGACACATGATAAGGAAGGCGCTGCTGCTCTTTGTTGCGATGTCGTCTTCAACAAAGGCAAGGGCTATGCACAACCAGGGCGTTTGCACCCTTGTAGTGAACAGGCTTCTGCGCTGCATGCTGCAGATGCATCTTATTCTCCCTCCCCTCTTGGTAGCAGCTCCATCATCCTGCTGCTACCGCTGCAGGTTTCCGCTTCTGTATCCCCGCAGACACCCTGGAGCGATGCTGGGGCGAACCCCAGGCCCGTGATGTCCTCCGACAGTTTGCTTGTGCAGCGGTAGCTCGCAAGCACCAGCTTGACCTGCAAGAGACAGTGTCCTATCCAAAGGCCTCTTACAAAGGTTTGTCTATATTTGCGCCAGTAGAGTACTTGGGCTTGAAGCGCCCAAAAGGCCCTTCAAGCGCTGTAACCCTCATTCGATATTCTGCTGCTGCTGAACCGCAGGAACACTGCCTCCCCCCAGGCAGCGCATTAGGGTGACACGCGAAGCCCATATTGAGCTACTCGAGGGGGAAGCTGCAACGGAAGAGCGGACGACATCAGCAAAGCGGGAGGCGGCAATCGCACCTCCACCACATCCCACAGGGGGAGGCAGCAGCCTTGCCGAGTACTTGGTGTGGGAGGGGGTCTTCGCCACACCCGCAGACGCAGGGGCATATTGCCTCGCTTTTGCAGAAGGCCTGTGGCCCCAACAAGGCCGAAGCATCCAGGCAATGGCTGTTAGCTCCCAGCGCGACGCAACTGCTACCACACAACAGGACTCGCCCTGGATAGCTAGCTGGATTAACAGCTGCAGCTGCAACAACTGCAGCAGCAGCTGCTGCAGCCGCGACGACAGCTGCAGCTGTGAGCGGCTTATTCCCGTCGGAGCAGTCGAAACTGCCGCCCTTTCTTGCGGAGTCTCCAGTTCAAACAAACGGCGCGGCCTTAAGAAAGCCTTTCTCGTGACTCCCGAGGCAGCTGCAGCAAGCAGTACCAGCAGCTGCAAACAGCAGCAAGCTGAAGCATGTAGTGGCAATGCAGGTACCAGGAGGCACCTAACTTAGTGCGCAGCACATTACTCATCCGTGTGCGTCTCTTTATTTGTTTTCTCTCCTTTCTTGTCTGAGCCACACCCAGTGCTGCGGCGCCCCAAGCTGTCCACTGAGTTTGCTTCTCTGCTTTCTCAGCCCTACAAATGCTGCAAGGCCGCGTCTACGTACTCCAGCTTGTCCTGCCGCGTGCTGCCGCTGCTGTCAAGGCAGCAACAGCACCTTTCTGTTCGGGGTGCAGAGCCACCAGACAGCGCTGTCGCTGCGGTGCAGATAGCCTGGCGTGGGAATTCAAGTGTACATACACCCTGAAGATAAGCGACCTTGAAGTCGTTGTGTTGCCGCTCCGTGGGGCCCTCTGGGGCGTTGAAAGGAATACCAACGGGTGAGGCCGCGTTCCACCAGAACTGCATTATTAGTACTTGTTGCATAGCTTGCTCTCAGAATCGGCATAAGACGTGTTTTTGGGTCCCCCGTGCTTCTGTCTTTGCTGTTTGACTCTTCTCCCGCAGGCCCCTCAACGGCTGCAGCCTTGCTTTTCCGCTGCGCCTGCAGTCGAGAGCTGCATTCGCTTTAGTGCGCACGTACAGCTGCTGCGAGAGAGCCAAAGCTTCACTGCAGCAGCTGCAGCAGCAGCAGTGGCTTCCCAAAGGGGAGGCGCAGCTGATGCCCCCTGAGGGGGGCCAGCCCGCTCTGAAAAGCAAACAATCTGCAGATGCAGCCTTTCTGCTGACAATATGTTTATACACGGACGCTGCAGCTGAGGCGGCCCTGGCGCGTATCTGTCCTGCAGCAGCAGCAGCAGCAGATGCCGCAGCAATTGAGGCAGTCGATGGAGCAGCCGCAGATGCTGACAAGGAAGAGATGAGCACGAAGTTACACGTGGAGATAGACGACAGCTCCTCTTCAGACGACGACTGCTCCAGCGTGATTCTCGAGAGCAGAACCGAAGAAGGCAGTTAGAGTAGCAGCACGACTTTTAGCAGCAGCTAATGAAGAGCACAAAGAGCTACATGTTTCTGGCGCAGGTCTATCGGCAAAGAAATCTCGAGCGCAGGGAGCTCAAGGAGAGCTGAGCACCCCTGGTCTATATAGACAGTATGCGGTGCTGCCAACGGTGATGCACTTGAAATGCTTTTTCATACATTCCTTTATATATAAGCAGTTTTCGTCAACATCTCAGGGGTCACGGCATTCGACTGCTAGCCGAAAAGTTGCTGTTCGGCTCCCCGGATGCGAAGATTTTTACGATGGATTCTAACCCTCATACAAAATACCGTTTAAGCCCAAGTCCAAAGTGCTTA